GGTTTTTTTTTTTTTTTTTTTTTGGTACTAGGGATCAAACTCAGGAACTTATGCTTGCAAGTAGTGGAACCTCTGAGCTAAATCCCCAGCATCCAGCCCTTTTTGAAACAGTCTTTGTTAAATTGCCCAAGTTGGAGTCAAACTTGAGGTCTTTCTGTTTCCAGCATGCACCACTATACCTAGCTTTTTTTGGTTTTTGTGTACTTGGTTTTTTGGTACCAGGGTTTGAATTCAAAACCTTGTGCTTGCCAGGCGGGTGCAGTGCCATTGAGCTAAAGTCTCCAGGCCTGTGTGCTTGTTTTTTGAGACCGCGTCCCGCTGTGCAGTTCCGGCTGGCCTCGGAACTTGTGGTGATCATCCTTCTTCAGCCTCCAGAACGCTGGGGTTATTTACATGCGTGCCAGGTCCGGTTTACAGAGAGAACTTGCCTCTGAGTTGCATAAAAATGGAAATAAAGATGGCAAGATTTTTGTGCAGGCTGTCACTATGCACCTCAGGCTCAACCATGGCGTTGCTTGTTTTGTCTTTAGAACTGGAAGTGGGTTCTGGTTTCCCAGTTAACGGGTGGTAGTAACTGCCAATAAATATTTCAATGAAGAATCTGGGCGGAGTATGTTAGGCACTTGACATTATTTTCTTGCATGTGCAGACAAGTCTGTCCCTTCAGCTCCATTTTGCAGACGGAATGGGAGTGACAAGGACTTCGGAGCCAGAGCCTGTCCGCCCGTTTACATCCCAGGGCCAAGGGTGACCTGACGGAAGGTCTCACCCAAGGCCTCATCCTCCAGTGCCCCTGTACGCACAGTGCAGGAGCCGCTTTCGCTCAGGGCCGGAAGGTGGCGCTGTCCCCTCGCAGGGCACTGCTCCTAGTCGGTGCCTGGCTGGGCTTTTGGTTGGGTGGTTGGAAGGTGTGGGGAAGGGACTGAAGGCTGAGGATCCCGCCTCCCAAGTTCTGAGCTTTATCCCTGCATCCTGTTCGTGCTAGCAAGTGCTGTACCGCAGAGCGCACCCTCAGGCTGGCCACTTTGAAACAGCTTGAGTTCCCACCCTGTGCCCCTTCCCAGGGAGCCAGAGAAGAAGCTCCCTGGAGTCGCCCTGTTTTCTTCCAGAGCCTGGAGCCTTAGGAAAATCTGAGTATACCAGACATGGTAACTCATGAAAAAGGAAAAAAAAAAAAATCCAGGGCCAAGGGTTTAGTTCAGTAGTACCGCTGCCTGTCTCGCAAGGGCAAGGTCCTGAGTTCAATCCCCATATAAAAAAAAAATAAAGGCCAGGGATTT